ATAATACGCTCCAAACGGATAAACACACAGCAAGATATGAGTGTCACAAATATTTAGCCTTATCTCTATGATTTAGCGTTTTCAGCGAAAATAGAGCACTTTTAGCGTAAATACAGTGTATTTTAGTAATTAGGCAATCATCCCTTGATATTTTGAAACCAGCGCCTGAAGACAAGTTTTAGAACTCGGTAAGATCTTTCCAACGAGATATTAAACGCTTTCAACGTCACAAAATAGAGCAAGATATGATCGCATCAAATTCTACACGAGTTCGGAGTGAAATCAGAAACATATGTGAATATATGGTTAATCTGTAACTTTTAAATAATGCATTGTAAATGAAGTGTGAACAATAGCTTTAGAGCTCCGATCTATCTTTCCAACGAGATATAATACGCTCCAAACGGATAAACACTCAGCAAGATATGAGTTTCACAAATACTTAGCCTTATCTTTATGATTAAGCGTTTTCAGCGAAAATAGAGCACGTTTAGCGTAAATACAGTGTATTTTAGTAATTAGGCAATCATCCCTTGATATTTTGAAACCAGCGCCTGAAGACAAGTTTTAGAACTCGGTAATATCTTTCCAACGAGATATTAAACGCTTTCAACGCCACTAAATAGAGCAAGATATGATCGCACCAAATTCTACACGAGTTCGGAGTGAAATCAGAAACATTTGTGAATATATGGTTAATCTGTAACTTTTAAATAATGCATTGTAAATGAAGTTGAAACAATAGCTTTAGAGCTCCGATCTATCTTTCCAACGATATATAATACGCTCTAAACGGATAAACACACAGCAAGATATGAGTGTCACAAATACTTAGCTTTATCTCTATGATTTAGCGTTTTCAGCGAAAATAGAGCACTTTTAGCGTAAATACAGTGTATTTTATTAATTAGGCAATCATCCCTTGATGTTTTGAAACCAGCGCCTGAAGACAAGTTTTAGAACTCGGTAAGATCTTTCCAACGAGATATTAAACGCTTTCAACGGCACAAAATAGAGCAAGATATGATCGCATCAAATTCTACACGAGTTCGGAGTGAAATCAGAAACATTTGTGAATATATGGTTAATCGGTAACTTTTAATTAATGCATTGTAAATGAAGATGGAACAATAGCTTTAGAGCTCCGAACTATCTTTCCAACCAGATATAATACGCTCCAAGCGGATAAACACACAACAAGATATGAGTGTCACAAATACTTAGCCTTATCTCTATGATTTAGTGTTTTCAGCGAAAATAGAGCACTTTTAACGTAAATACAGTGTATTTTAGTACTTAGGCAATCATCCCTTGATACTTTTAAACGAGCGCTTGAATACAAGTTTTAGAACTCGGTAAGATCTTTTCAACGGGATATTAAACGCTCTCAACGGCACGAAATAGAGCAAGATATGATCACATCAAATTTTATACGAGTTCGGAGTGAAATCAGAAACATTTGTGAATATATGGTTAATCTCTAACTTTTGATTAATGCATTGTAAATGAAGTTGGAACAATAGCTTTAGAGCTTCGATCTATATTTCAAACGGGATATAGTACGCTCCAAACGGATAAACACACAACAAGATATGAGTGTCACAAATATTTAGCCTTATCTCTATGATTTAGCGTTTTCAGCGAAAATAGAACACTTTTAGCGTAAATACAGTGTATTTTAGTAATTAGACAATCATCCCTTGATATTTTGAAACCAGCGCCTGAAGACAAGTTTTAGAACTCGGTAAGATCTTTCCAACGAGATATTAAACGCTTTCAACGGCACAAAATAGAGCAAGATATGATCGCATCAAATTCTACACGAGTTCGGACTCAAATCAGAAACATATGTGAATATATGGTTAATCTGTAACTTTTAAATAATGCATTGTAAATGAAGTGTGAACAATAGTTTTAGAGCTTCGATCTATCTTTCCAACGAGATATAATACGGTCCAAACGGAAAAACACTCAGCAAGATATGAGTGTCACAAATACTTAGTCTTATCTCTATGATTTAGCGTTTTCAGCGAAAATAGAGCACTTTTAGCTTGAATACAATGTTTTTTTTTTGGGATTTTTTTTAAAGAATGATTTTATTAATAAAAATAAAAGGTGCAGTGCAGGAAGTGAAATCAAATTAAAGATACAGAGAGTAAAAGAGAATATAAAAAACTAAAACTAGATCCAACTTAAGTTTTATAGGAAACCTTAGCGTAAATACAGCGTATTTTAGTAATTAGGCAATGATCCCTTAAATTTTGAAACCAGCGCCTGAAGACAAGTTTTAGAACTCGGTAAGATTATTATTATTATTATTATTATTATTATTATTATTATTATTATTGTTGTTGTTGTTATTGTTATTATTATTGTTATTATTATTGTTATTATTGTTATTATTGTTATCGTTATCGTTATCGTTATTATTATTATTATTATCATTGTTACTATTATCATTGTTACTATTATCATTGTTACTATTATCATTGTTATTATTATCATTATTATTATTATCATTATTATTATTATTATTATCATTATCATTATTATGATTATCATCATCATCATTATTATTATTGTTATCATTATTATTATTATCATTATCATTATCATCATCATCATCATCATCATCATCATCATGATGATTATTATTATTATCATTAATATTATTGTTATTGTTATCATTATTATCATTACTATCATTATTATCATTATTATCATCATCATTATTATTATTATCATTATTATCATTATCATTATTATCATTATTATTGTTATCATTATTATCATTATCATTATCATTATCATTATCATTATTATTATTGTTATCATTATTATTATTATTATCATTATCAATATTATCATTATCATTATTATCATCATCGTCATTATTATTATTATTATTATTATTATTATTATTATTATTGTCGTCATCATCATCATCATTATTATTATTATAATAATAATAATTTGAAATTTTTTATGTAACTGAAAGTAAAATCTGTTCATTTTAGAAGTATTATAAATTTTTATAAGGAACCGAAAAAATGTAAAAACTGAATCGAATTTAACTAGAACCGAACCGAATTTAACAACTACTACATCCGTCCCACTAAGATTGAGACAAAAGAAGATAGTGCGATTATTAAGAAAAGTTAATTTGTGTGGTTGATATTAAATTGATAAAGTAAGAATAAAGTAAAAATGATTTAGAACCACGCAATTTTTACCAAATTCGGTATGAGACAATCTTAGTGAGGCTACGCTAGGACTATTCTTTCTATCTTCCTCTCCTTTCTATTTTCCCACGCTATATAGTCTTTATCTCTTAGTAATATATGTATTCCTATTCTATTCTAGTTCTCAGGAAAGGGGATGAAATCCCATGTCTCTCTTCCGCGCAGATTGAGATGCTTCTCGGGTTCCCTCTAGGGTTGAGGCATTCCTAATCGAAAAGGTAAAATGGGACAATCTTAACGGGACAGAGAGTACATTTTTAACTAGAACCAAATTTGTCTACAATTTTTATACAGTTTCATCGACTTACCCTGACCAGAGTTGTTAATAGTTTTAACAAAACACTAATTTCGTAATTATTTAGTTTTCCAAAAAGACTGCAGAAAGCAAAAGCTAGGTATAAACTAGGCCTTTTGAAGATGCAATAAATCTAATGCGAAAATGATGAGCAAAGGGAAAACGAGAACAATAACTTTTGCTCAACAAAATGTCTGTTTGGAGAGTGTTGAAGCAGAAACGGCAACCAATCCTCTTACTATACCACACAGATTTTACCAATCCTCACAATCTCAGCAGTTGAAATACATATACTTCAGAATTAAATCAGACTATGAAAACCAGTTGTTCCAAGCTCAATATAGCACCCACAACAATCAAGTCAATTCTGGTGCTGCTTCTGCTAAATCTCACCGAGGGAATTCTTGGCAGGTACTCCCAACTTCATGGATCAGTTGCACAGCTTGGCGTTCACTACCCTTTTGGAAATCTGTTTCTGACCTAGAATGATGCAAAGAAGCAATATGCAGTTGGGGCATTTTATAAAACCAAATCAGATTTTCTTTTGATATATTACTGCATATTATCATTGTGAATAATACGTAGTACATCTTTGGCATGTTGCTCTAAATGAACCTTCATACAAACAAGTTTTGCATTCATCTTTAACTGGTTCAACCTTGTAATATCCATACAACATTTTAATTTACCCACCAGCGTTCGCTAATATTGACTGAAATTCATCATATATATACAGAACCCAAAGAAGCTATAATGTAAAGAACATGAAACACCTTCGTCCCAAATCTCCAAGCATACTAATGTCAGTTCTAGAGAGATTATTCAATCACATAATTCAAACGTGGAAAAAGCTAACTACTATCGCTGATAAATCTAGCTTGGTCAGATTTTTAGGTGGTGAAACAATCCTGAAGACATTTATCTAAAACAATTTCCACGAAAGAGGACAGCAGAAGGAAAACTAAGAAAGTTAACCATGAAAAAAAACAAAAAACAGAATGTAAACACACAACAAATAGCAAACAAATCCTTAAGAGAAACACATATTAGACTCTGTAAGAGAGCAATTTTTGTTTGTTTTGATTGTAGATTTGAAAGCCCGCTCTGCCATCATGGCCAATAGGCTCAGACCGCGGGCAGTCTTCATCGCAGTAAAGTAGAGGAGGGAGGGGCTACGGAAAGGGACTTCGACGGAGAGCCGCCATCTTCCCCGGCAATGACCGGAGAGGGTAGCTATCCCATCCGATTCCCAAACCCTAACCGCCAAACGCCGCCGCCTTCTGCTCAGATAAGATCAAGTAACTATAAATCTCCCAGTGTTGCTGTAAACTCCTATATTTATAGCCGCTCTATATTGGGATAGTAGGAGGAATTGTCTAAAACACCCTTTGGCGTCCAATGCTTACCTATAGGGTGTTTATGTCAAAGGACTGTCCTTTTTCGATACCTCAAACAGATAAGCGCTTTAATCTTCACGTGCCACCCACACAAACCCCAGTGGTCCTATAATATTTCTCTCTCGCTTTCTCCTCTGACCGATATCTGAAGGTTAGATCTAACAAGTTCAAATTTCTGTGGTTTATGCATTCTGATTGGGATAATTGACGAATCGTAAGTTTTTATATTACTCTCTCGATTGATTTCCATGTTTGTTACTTTTCTTCATGAATCTAAAGATGGGATTAGTTTCTTTCAGCTGTTTGTTGAATTGATTTTGGGTTAAAGGTCCGCGATTAGAACATGCCATTTCTTGGCATTAAAATTTGGGTGTTCGTTCAACATTTATGTTTTTTTATGGTTATACAGTTCAGAATGTTACCTTGCACACTAGTCATGTAAAATTTGGTTTCTCTTTCTTTCAATTGGTTTTGTTAGGATACCATTGAGTCTTACAGTTCAGGTCACTGAAAAATGACTGAGCCTTCAAAGGTTATACATGTCCGAAATGTGGGCCATGAGATTTCTGAGGTAAAGAGTCTTGGTCTGCCTTAACTTAATACGGAGTAAAAAATTCCCGTTTTGACCTATTTTTGTAGTCTTTTACTAAGTGCACATTATATTTTCTGTTGCAGAATGATTTGCTTCAGCTCTTTCAGCCATTTGGAGGTATAACAAAGCTTGTGATGCTAAGAGCTAAAAATCAGGTGCTTATTTCACGTATCAGTATGTGTCTCACTACCTTCTTTTCAAATACACACCAGTTGAAGTGAAGATCTTGTTTTCTTTTATGATTTGTAGGCCCTCCTTCAAATGCAAGATGTTCCCTCAGCTATCAATGCATTGCAGTTTTACACGAATGTACAACCTAGCATAAGGTGCCTAGTGGCATATGCTTCTCTGCAGTGCTTTTATTTGTTAAACTCTTTATTTATAGTGTTAAGGAGAGGTTAATATTCTTCTATGCAATTCACCTCCCCAGTTTTCTTATCATACATTGATAAAACACTCACATTTTGTGATTCAGAGGGAGGAATGTTTATGTTCAGTTCTCCTCGCATCAAGAGTTGACAACCATGGATCAAAACACGCAAAGCCGAGTGGATGAGGTTAGCAAGTATTTTTTGTTAAATTAAGTGGCATCTCGGATAGCTATTTTTCTGTATGTATAGTTCTTACATTATCATTCAGGTAGCCACAATCTTGGATTCCAACAGCCAACCATGACTTTAAACTCCACTTTGAACCATATAGAAATATCATTTAATGTCATGTTGAGAACCCACAATATGTTGTAAGTGATGAAGATTGTACTATGTTCCTAATTCTCTTTGTAGTCTCTACCACAGTTTTGAAACTCCACTGTACCTACACAACTGATAAGAACATATCAAGATAATAACTGCACATTTTTTTGGCAATTACTTGCTTGGGAAAATGGACCACATATAGCAGAATGAGAATGCTGATTCATATTGGGATACCTTTATGTGATGGTCTGTGTTTTTAGGATTTTATATCATAGTGTAAATGACATTGTGTTAATTTTTTTGCCACAAAAAGTCAAGTCTGGACTACTAAAGTGGGGTGGCGGCTGTAAGAATTATATATGCATGGCATATTAAGTATGTGGCCACCTTTTCTGTTTTGCGGCTGTCAAATGTTCACTTATATGTTTTTTACTGCTGCAGCAGATATGATCTTGCTCCAAGAGTTGATAGATTTTACGAGTTAATACAGAACTCGTTGACATTCTGTTTTTGGACAAAATAAATTTGAGTAGCATATTGCATGCCTATGTTATTTTCACAGATCCTTCTCTCTATTTTCCATCTGTTCTATTCTATTCTATTCATTCTCTTTCTCTTCTCTCCATCTGTCTCTATGTATTTGCTCTGCTGTTCGTTCGGCTCTCTCTGGACTCTCACAGCCTAATCGAATTCTCTTAGTTACAATACATCACATGCTATACCCCATAACTGTGGAAGTGCTGCATCAAGTGTTTTCTCCTCATGGATTTGTAGAGAAGATCGTCACTTTTCAGAAGTCTGCTGGTCAGCTTCTTCAAGTTTTCTCTTCTCTATATGTTTTCACATGTTTTCCACTCTATTCTTATTACATTTGGTTTTGGAAAAAATAATCCTCATGGAGCCACATCTCTATGTAAATGTCATGCTTGTTGATCTTTTTTCTATTGTTAAGCGGCTCTTATTTGGAGTTCAGGATCTGCTCTCGTTGTATATGTTTGAATAGCTGATTGAAGAGATGTGAACTTTGTAGGGTTTCAAGCTTTGATTCAATATCAAACAAACCAAAGTGCTGTTTCTGCTCGGAATTCTCTTCAGGTGCACTTCTAATATCCTCTACTTCCCTGTCTTAAAATAAAATTCATGTTCAAAACATAATTTGTCCAATAAAACTATAAAAGAGTTGACTTCAACATGAGATGCTACGATCCAATCGAATTTGATGTAGCTACGATCCAATCGAATTTGATGTAATATTTCAAAAAGAAATCTGAACGACTTAAAATTAGTATAAAATCAAATAGATGCAAAGTTATATGTAGGGCTGGCAATTTAGAAGAGGTTTACCTTATCAAAATGAAAAGGTTCTACCTTGACGAAGCATGTCTCTTTTTTATTTGGTACGGAGGCAATAGTAAATGTTAGTACCTCTAAATGAATGATAGTCCATGCCACTGCTTCAGGCAATGGAAGCTCATCTTAACATTTTATATTCTTAGGGGCGCAATATATATGATGGATGCTGTCAACTGGACATTCAGTTTTCAAAGTAAGTTTGTTAACCTTATGAGATTTGTGCTAATTGGTTGCTAGTGTCAGAAAAAGATCGTGCAAGTTAATAAGTTGCTAAACCTTGTTTTGGTGGTTTTTTATTACGATACCATTTTTCTTTAGTTTCTTTCATTGTTGGCAAATGGCAATTATATTTGTCAAACACTCTTCCTCTATATTTTTCATATGTATACATATCTTTTCTCTAAATTTTTGGTGAACTGCAGCCTAGACGAATTGCAAGTGAACTATAATAATGAAAAATCAAGGTATAATATCTGGGTTTTGTTGTGTTCCGTCCATTTTTGTTTTAGCAAGTTACAGTAGGCCTTCCAAGTAATAAACATTAATCTGCTGATGTACTATTGTATAGGGATTTCACCAACCCAAATTTACCAACAGAACAAAAGGGGAAATCTTCTCAAGTAAATATTGTACACTTTATTACTCTGAGAAATCTTCTTTAATCATTCTTTATGTATGATTCAATCGATAGAGAATAGTTAACCTTTTTTATATTGTTTTGATTCATAACAGCACACTTATGGGGATATTGGGGGTATGTATCCGTTATCATCATCAGGTTCCAATGCAGGTGTTTTTGCCTCAACTTTTGTTATCTCTTTCAATGAAATCTTCATAAGTATTTTCTTTTTTTGCCATCTCTAATTTTTTGTCTGTCTGTTTCTCCAGCTGGATATCATCAGGTGCGTATTTCCCTTTCTTTAGTTGAGAATTCAGATGATTTTGACCAGATTTGTATCTGAGAGGTTATTTTTTTCTTTTTCTTTTTACTTTTATCGGTACGTATAACAGATGGGGAATGCTGCTGCTGTTGCAGCTGCCTTTCCCGGAGGCTTGCCTCCGGGAATAAGTGGGACAAATGATAGATGTACTATTCTTGTTTCTAATCTAAATTCGGATGTAAGTGTATCTTTTTACAATATTACTGGCATCTGGGATATTCAATTTCTGAATCATTTTCAATTTTACAATACGACGCCCAACATGTCAATATTTCTTATTCATCTGCAGAGAGTAGATGAGGACAAACTTTTTAACCTTTTCTCAATATATGGAAACATTGTGAGGATCAAACTACTACGTAATAAACCGGACCATGCATTGGTTCAGATGGGTGATGGTTTCCAAGCTGAATTAGCCGTCCACTTTCTGAAGGTCTTTGTATAATCTTTTATATAGACACTCTACTTTTTGGGTATAGTTTTTGCTTGATGTTTTGTTTTGTCAAATTAAATGTGGACCGTTTTTAAGTGGAACCCATTTTTGGATTATATCTTGGCTTATCAACCATTTTTTCACCAAATGAAAATAAATAATGCAGGAGTTGCTGGAATGGCCAATTTTGATGAAATTGACAATAGGGCTTTGGCTTTCTTGCTTTTAGAATTTTAATGCCCCCTTGTCCCATAAATTTCTGCCTGCTTTGACTTGCATGCTAGTTAAGAAAATGAAATTGTGAAACAGTGGTTTATTTAAATTGGAAAGAAACTACATCAACCACACTTTTTTCATTAAAAAGGAAATATGAAGAAAATTGTGTCCCAACCTGCAAAGAAATCTTAGAGAATATTCTACATTTTTCTTGAATTGATTTCGATGAATATTTCTTCAATTTTGATAGATAATTAGCTGATTTTAAGCCTCTGGGTTCTATTACATAATTGATGATGTGTGGTGCATGCAGGGAGGAACACTGTTCGGAAAGCGGTTGGAGGTCAACTTCTCTAAGCACCCAAACATTACAACCGGACCAGAAACACGCGACTATTCTAACTCTAACCTCAACCGTTTCAACCGTAACGCAGCAAAGAACTACCGATATTGTTGCTCGCCAACCAAGATGATCCACCTATCCACCTTGCCCCAGGACGTCACTGAGGAAGAGATTGTGGACCACTTGGAGGAGCACGGCACCATTGTCAACAGCAAGCTTTTTGAGATGAACGGGAAGAAGCAGGCTCTCGTCCTTTTTGAAAACGAAGAGCAGGCCACTGAAGCCCTTGCGTGTAAGAATGCCTCCTCACTCGCTGGATCAACCATTCGGATTTCCTTCTCTCAATTGCAGAACATCTAATTCATTTAAGAAACAAGCAGTTTGTTGCAAACAAAAACTTATTAGACACGTGATTTTTACGTCCTGCTCATTGTATTTGATAATTCTTCCCTTGTAACACTAGTTTCTTGTCCTCATAAGCTCATAGGCCACTTGGTAACCTTTTTCTTCTGAGGTTCTGTTGGAACAAAAAACAAAAACACCTATTGCTTGTGTTTTCTAAGATTACTCTGAAGTCAAATTTAATTATTACATTCAAACTGGAACGTGAAAAACTTACTAGTATTAAATGGTATGAGACATCTGTCATTTCAACAGTTTATGATGTAAATTGCTATACCAAAATTATGTTTTAACTAAACTCCTGTGAGTTTTTGTATGACTAGTAAGTGTAACTTCAATTGGGTAAATCCGTAAATAGGTTTTGGTATAGTTTAGCCCTTTATCTATAATAGTAATAAAAAAATGGAATTGGTTGGGTTTGGTCTTTATTTTGGAAGAGTTGGAACTTGAAACTGATTTGGACTAGTTTTTGGGAATAGTAGTGTTTGGAATGGCTACGGGGCGGATCCAGAACGGTTTTACATATAATTGCATCCGCCTCGTAAGGTAATTTCCCCGCCCCGTAACTGTCCCATTACTCAATGGGTAATTTTTACTCAACCCATAATCGTCCCAACGGGTAATCGGTAAAGGGTATAACCGCAGGTAATCACTTTATTGAATGAGTCGTTGATATTTTAGTATAAAAATAATATTTTAAAAAGTGAAAAACGGCATCACCTAGATGACTCTAGAGTCATACACCATTTAAAAATGGGTTTCCGGGCCCAAACAGTAATGGGTCGGGCCGGTTCCGGGCCGGCCCGGTTTAGTCCATCCCTACCTATGCGAAGCCCGACCTCTCAATGTCTCCGTCGTCTTCGATATTGTTGGACTCGGGTCGGGCCACCCGGCCAGTGGACCGGCCCGGCCCGCTACTGTGCAGGACCAGGACCGGCCCGGATCTCGGGTCCGGGTCCGGGTTGGGCCTAGGCCCGGGGGTAGGGCAGGTCCGGGCTCGGGTCTCAAATTTGGTGAACCGGCTCGGCCGGGTGGGGCCCGGGCCCGGGCCAAATTGAATTTTTTTTATTTTTTTTTTCATTTTTGGGGTTCCACCCGGGTTGGGCTTGATGGGTAGGATGGGTTTGGGGGGGTTTGGGAGGGTGGGGGTGAGGGGGGGGGGGGTTAGGAAAGCAAAAAAAAAAAAAAAACAAACCGGAGGCCCGGCCCGACCCGGATCGGACCCGGTGGCTACCCGGGCCGGTCCCGGGTCCACCATTCTTGAACCACCGGCCCGGACCCGAGTCCACCCCTAGTCTTCGAAGCCCGTTGCTTCACTACTATGTCGCGACCGCTACTCGCCAAAGGAGAACAGCAACGAACCACGCCCCAATACGCCTAGCAAAACAGTCCACCTTGCGGTGGCCACTCCTCGGTGAATCCGATAGCAGAAGAAAACACCCTAGAGAGAAAATCTTTTGGTCCGATTAAAGTAGTTAATATTCTCATATATAAATACATACATCATACATTTACATTTACCCCAGTGCCACAAAGGCTCCCACCTACGGTGGGGTAAGGGGGGTCGAATGTAAGCAGTCTTACCCATGTACTAAAGCACAGAGAGACCGTTTCCGGATGACCCATAGTGAAAATCGCGTCCAAAATTGCATGGACTGACGGCTGCTCCATAACAAAGAATCGCAGACAGTTTAGTGAGCCATTTTGTTTTATTACATCATAATCTCAAGGCAAAAAATAATGAATCTCTGGCTCCATTGCAAATGATGCAAAATAATATTCTCATATATTATAAATATAAGTTCAAAATTTTCCGGTCCAAAATCCCTCACGAACAAGATCAAAATCCCGTCTGAGGATGAGCTGTAACCAAAACCGGACCTAACAACTTCGGTCATAGTTAAGTTTCCCCTTGGGAGCGGAACTTGACAGATTCACAAATCCACTCCTAGCGAGAATTCACTCCAATAAAAAAATAATTACACAGGTCCTCAAGTACACTATGAACAATAAGCATAACTATATCAATGTTTAAAATACAAGAGATGTATATACACACCATAAACCCATGATCCTTGTGTTATATTGTCTGCAAATTAGTCTGTAATCTATGAGCCCTTTGCCAATTCTCTCTACTAACAGAGGTAGAATCTGAGATTGATCATGTAATTTTATGTAGATGAATTCTAATTTCATAAGTGCTTCCAAGGAGATATTCTACCAAGGTCTGGAACATCGACCATCTTCTTCATCGTGAGGGATAACAGTTTCCCCAGTTGTTGTCCAAAACTGGTACTCCTCCCTTACACTTGGAAAGGAGTCACTCCCAGAATCATCATTTCTGCCATCTTGCACACCAAATTCATCGTCTCGATCATCATCTTCAAAGCCAAGATCATCATCAACATCATCGAATAAATCATCGAGTCCATCATAAGACAAAGCAAACTCCTCCTCATCAACTTCGTCCGACATTGAATCGCAGCTCAAACCACCACCACCTGTGCTGACCAACTCAACGTCCTCTCCTTTAGCAAATGCCTTCCTCTTCTCTCTCCTTAATTGCTTCCCTTCCCTAACCAGCTGCATAAGCTTATCTTTAATAACCAATAGCTCATTCTTCACCTCCTCCTTCAGCCTACCACCACCATCATAGCCTTCAACAAGAAAGACAGAATTTCTCAGCCCCTTTAAACTCACATAGAAATGCTCAGGGTGTCTGATCAATAAAGCCCTCAATTTATTTGGCAGCCCAAACTCCTTCCTGAAATGTGTCAAGTGGTCTATCAGAGTCCTCCTCTCAATCATCATGGCTAACACTTCCCTCACAACGGCACATGCCCTTTTCTCAGCTTCAATGGACCCTTTGGGAAAATCCTCTGCTTTTGATTCATAAGGACACACATGTGGCAGTTCCTTAAACTTCATAAGATAATCATGATGGCGTCTCTTCAGATTGAGCCCCTTCCTAAGCCTCAAGTGTTTGAATTTCAGAGGTCTATCCACAATCAACCCGAGCGAAACAGAATCAACCTCATCATGTGGGGAGGGTAAAGAATGAGCCAAACTTGAATCCCATGAAACGAGCTCTAGAGCCCGTCCGTAGGAAGTCTCCACGATTTTGAATCTATCCGGGAATTCATTGCACAGGCGAGAACGAAAGTTAACTGGCAAGCCAAGATCGGGGAACAAGTGAACGAGCTTGGACAACAATAGTCTATGGTGGGATGAGAGCATTAGAAGCTTTTGCAGTTTGGATGCTGAGGAAACCGACAGAATTTTGGATTTAATTTCATATTCTCTAACAGCAAGAGCTGCTGCAGCTGGAGTGAGCCTAACGCATAGCTGAGAGTGTGGTTTCGTGGCATTGAATGGAATAGGAGGCGTGGGGATGGTGAAAAGTTCAAAAACAGTAGGGTATCGATGAATCAATGAGAGTATAGAGCGGGGTGGGTTTGACAGAGCTAGATAGTCACGGCACTTGTCAATAACTTTGATGGGCAAGAAATGTCTTGGCTTTGACAAAAGCAGCGTCTTTAGCTTCTGAATGAAGCGGATCTTGTTGGACCTGGCAATGTGTCTGTCCAACGAGCGATCGCGTACTGGTTTGCAAGGACCAGAAGGTGGGGATATAGATGAAGAACTTCTGATACATACCTTTGTAACTTGAGCTCTGGGCATCGCAAGATTCGAAAGGAGGAGGCCGTGTTTGCGTGGACGACCCGGCATGAAAGTTGTGTGGCGAGGAATAAAAGGGCTGGATATGGTTTTAGGTGCTTCCGGCGGTATGAGCAGCATTATTCACTAGCAATTGAGGTAAACGATCGAATATTAGGTCGGTCTTCACAGGTTTCGTCTTTGAGGCAAATTATCATACACCTGGCATGCGTCGCGCATATTCAAGATTCTTTCTTTTACTGTGAACAATAAAGCGCCACTTCTGGTTTCCCTTCTTCCACCCAAAGCGGAAACTTACGCGGATTTTCTCCAGAAAGCAGGATGGATCATTGAAGATGCAAGAGGACCCGCTAAGAGCTCTAAGCTCTTAAGCCCTTTGGAAATCTAAGACCGTCTGTTCAGACATTAAGTTTCTACCTTCTAGCTTTTGTACGGTTCAAAAAGTTTTTAAAAGCTTCTAGTTATATGTTTGGCATGACAATTTTTAACAACTTTTCAAAAATTAAAAGATTTTTTTTGAGATACTATAGGGAGTACCATCTGAAAAAAAGTCTGTGACTTTTAGTATTAATTAGTCCTAACAACTTATATACCAAACCGAACTAAATCAAACAGTCAACTTTTTACCAAACAGCTACCACCTTTTCTCTTCAAGATCTTTTCAGTCACTAAAAGCTAACGGTTTTTATAAAACTCACAAAAGTATCTTTTCAGCTAGTTGTGCCAAACATACCCTAAGTATGTTAGTTTAGGGTAGGGCGTGGTTAGATCAATTTTAAATCTGTTGGTGAAGTGTAGTGATTGAATTAACAATTTTGCTATAGGTACCCCATACTTACCCCATTTCCTACCCCATATAAATACCCTCCTTTTTTACAATCCCTTTTATCCCTTTCCAAAAATATATTTCTCTCACATCTCCCACATCCTCTACCCACCTTCTCGTTTCCGCCAAAACCCATCCTAACCTTCGAAGTGCTACAGACCTACAGTGCACGGTTGGGATTTAGCTTCTTTCCCATACTCACCTGCTTTTTTCTTTCACCTTCTTGGATGGATATCATGGGGATTGATGTATCCGACTTTAGTGATGTGGGGTTTTTGGATGAGGTGGGTGACGGTGGTAATCTGCCATCTCTGGTTGTTGTTGAAGTAGAAGCAAATGTTTGAAGATGATTTTGGCGGCTTGGAGAAGAGTATGTTTGATTTCCATCATTTTTGTATTTTGTTTGGCAGACAGACAATTTGGAACTGCAGTGTTTGTCCAGCCTAAAGTAAACGCGGTGTCATAGTTGTTTGAAGTGAAACTGGTTTTATATTTGTTAGTGTCTATATATAAATGTGTGTGCTTTTTTTGGAAACATGGTTGTATTGCTAATGTGAAGATAAATGTGGTGAATGAATTACATATGTGAAGACACACTGACGTGCACTCGTCGTCAGGTGCACTCAAAATAATTAATCAATACGACACTAATACGTAGTATAGTGTAGTAAGGTTCGTATCCACAGGGAAAGGAATACTTTTCTTTTATAAAAGTGGTAAAAGAAGGGGGGTTTAGATTTGT